GAGGTGGAAGATGCAGCCAAGGTGGACTCTGTGGGACTGAGGGAAGGGTGGGCATCCTCAGGGGCTGCTCTGGGCCCTTGAAGGTCCTTTTAGAGACCCAGCCTCTACTGCTGGAGGCTGTGTAGATTGTGAGAAGGATCAGCCTCCCTCTTGGCTTTTGACTGGGGCAGCTCCTCCCTTAGCAGCGTCTTTCTCTTCTGAGGCCTCCCCTGGCCCAGCCTGACTCATTCCTCTGGCCTCTCCAGATTCTCCAGAAAGAGGCTCCTGGCAGTCAGGGGCTAGGACAGGAATGATTCTGTCCCCAGGAGGTTGGAAAGTAATCTGTCCTGCCTTGGGGCAAAGCTGGTTTTGCTTGTTTATCAGGAAGAAAGAACAAAAAATTGGTTAAAAAAAAATCCAAATGGGTAGCTCCTGCTCTTTTAGCCTGGATTCTAGGAACTTCAAGAGGTAAAGCCCAGCTCTGCCTTTTACTAGCTGTGTGATCTTGGACAAATTGCTTAATCACACTGTGTCTCCTTTCCCCATATATCAAGTGGGGATATGAATCTACCTCACGGGGTTGTGAGGATTAAACAAATTTACCTGTGTCAGGGTTTTAGAACTGTTCTGAAACATAATGAACAGTTGGCAAATGTCAACTGTAATTATTACTATTATTACCATTGGACAGAAACTCTTTGACCTCTGCCTTTGAGAAAACCTGCCCCCTACCCTGCCCACCTTCAGACTGAACTGTGATGACCTCTTTCAGTACTTCTGAGCTTGGGGCATTTGCTGAGGGAAGAGTGAGTGAACAAATGAATGAGATTCTCACACCAGCATAGTGAAGGCACCAGGAAGGCCTTCTTCTCATTACAGACAGGGAAACTGGGGTCTTTCAGAGGGATGTAAAGTGTCCAAGGTCCCACAGTGAGCCCGCAGTACAGTCAGACCTAAGCGCACCCTCCCTGCCCCAAATCCGTACATTTCCCACTTTATATACAGCTTCCTCTTTTCCTAATGGCAGGAATGACCATGCATGAGGAGTGGCCCAATTGCTTCCAGGAACAAGGGCTCCATCTTCCAGCATTAGCCTCCTCCAGGCTGCTCCCCACCCCCTTCCCACAAGCATGGCTGTTCAAGGCCCGGAGGAGCTAGGCGGGAGAGCAGAGGCAGCCCATTCTCTAGCCCTGCCGGTCTCAGGCAGGTCCCTGCCCTCTGAGCCCCAGGTTCCCCACTTGGTGAGAAGAAAGGATGACATCTGTGATTTTCATGATATCTTCGAAGGGAAACCTTTCTTGGCTTGAAATCTTCGATAAGAGCAACAGATGAAAATGGAACTGCTGGGGTTGACCTGGCACACACAGCCTCTTCCTACACAGGCCCGAAGCCCCCATTCTATAGAAAACTCTTGAGCTGCCTGGTCTTAAAGGCCTTTCTGCTCTGATAGCCTCTGGTGCCAGACATGTGAGGTTCTTAGACAGGATTAGAGGGTGTGTCCAGAATCTAAGCTGGGAAGGGGGTGTGGGTGAGGACAAGTGGTGAGCATGGAAGAGGAGAGAGCACTGCCGGGAAGTCAGAGAGCTGTGTTCACATCGTCTGTCTGTTCACTCCTGACCGTGTTGGGCAAAGTGCTCCGCCTCTGTCAAGAAGAGTTGGTCATGACTGCCTGCAGCGCTATTACAAAAGTTGGAAACCTATGTAACACCGAGCTCCCAGCCTAGCCTGCAGTAGGAGCTCGGTAACCACTAGTACTGGGAACAAGAGGCTTCCTTGGAGCCCCAGGCTATTGCCTTTCTCTGCCCTACCCCAACACTTGCTCCTCGGACACTTGCTGATCACTGAGGCCCAGGAGAGAGAGCAGGGCTGGACCAGGCCCTGGGAGTCCATGAACACTGGACAGTATCTTCTAGAATTTCCACTGTGTCAGTTGTGGAATGATTACAGGTCCATGACCCCTGAGCAGCTGGAGGGTATACCTGAGGTTAAAGATGGACAAGAGATGGGTTCCTATGCAGTGATGAGGAAACAGGCCCAGAAGAGGCAGAGAGGAAGGTGTTCCTGGAGCCGCATACACATCTGAGGCTACCTGCAGGCACAGACGGCAACCCCAGGCTGGGGCCCGGAACTTCAGGGTTGGGCTTGTGCTGAAGGCCTGTGGGGCACTGGGTCACCCAGAAAAGTCACCGTCTCTTAGGGACATCCCCCGAAGGGCTCTCAGACTTAGGAGGAGACAAATAAAATGCATGTGACTATGAGGGATTCTGGAAGGTGACTAGGTGTTTGTATATCAGGGTGAGGACAGGGGGAGGGGTGGCACCCGACTGAACCATTTCTGACCTGCCTCCTGCCCCTGTCCTCTAATTGACCCTCTCCTCTCATCCCAAGTAAGAAGTCATCTTCTGAAACCCTGCCCCACCCTGTGTCTCCAGGTCTAGAAGGCATCACCCTGCATGACCCCGACTTTTTCCTCTACTTCACAGAAGTTGTCACCAAGTCAGCTCAAGGCCACCATCTGGCAAACCCATCCCCTCCTCTCCAGCCCCACTCTTGCCCTAGATGCCCCTGTCACTGCATGTCTGCAACTGAGCAGTCTCCCCCAGTCTCCCACCTCCACCCTCACTCTCGGGTACATGCTTCGCCTGGTCCTGTGCTTCCAGAGCAGTGTCTTTCAACGGCCACCAGGTCCTATAACATCGGAATTCCCAAGACACTTTAAGACTTGACCACCTCCTCCAGGATCTTCCTTCAATGGCTCCTCTGCAGAGGATATCTCTCCCTCCCCTGAGCACCTGCACCAGGCCTGTGGCTCACATCACCTCCCACCTCTTACTGGAGGCCCATGGAACCCATCTCTGTATTCATTTCTAGTCTGAAGGAACCTCCTGAGGACAGAGGCCATGTGCCCCACAGCGCTGGGTCCATGGCTTGTCACAGAACTGATGGATGGTGGAGGAGGAGGGATGAACAGAGAAGAGCGGACACGCTGCTGAATATAAACAGTTCTGGAAATTGTATCTTAGGGAAGGAGCCTGAACAACCAATTAAAGTGAAGCTTTAGAGTATTTGTGGAATTTCTCCTAAATCTATAGAGAAAGGAGTTGATTCCCAAGTAGGTATCTCAAAGTACTCTCATTTCGGCTATACCTTTGCCAATCTATCATTCTGTTCTTTAAATGATATGACAACCCCATACGTCACCTTTCCATACTGCAAGGGACCCAGGAGATCATGTGGCCACCCTCCTTGTACGGGTGGGGAATAGGCACAGAAAGGGAAGCCTTGCTCAGGATCACACAGTGGGTGACCAGCAGAGCCAGAGCTGAAAGCCAGACTCCCACTGGAGCCCAGAGTGAAGCTGTTTAGGGCCGATGCCAGGGAGTGGCCTCTTACCGCCAGCACTGGCATCTCATGAGCCTGGATCTTGGGGGCAGATCCAAGGAGGGGCCTAGTCATACTCCTCTGAGGCTGACAGCCCAGTGAAGAACTTCTGAACCTGACCCACAGCTGTTCATCAACAGCCCGGGTGAGGCAGGGGCTGAGCTGAGGTAAACACCGGCCCTGCCCTCCTGGCCTGAGGGGTCTGTGGGAAGCAGGTGGCTGCATACTTGTCCCAGGCCCACATGGCAAGGCCGGTAACAAAGAACACACCCCTCTGTAGGGGGTGTGTGCCAGGGGCCGCTTGCCAGCCCAGACATCAAGCCGGGATGTTGGGGGAGTGAACTCTGGGCAAAGGAACCCGGGGAAGGAGTGTGGCAGCAGGTGAGGGCCAGCGCCTGGCCCCCAGAGGCTCTGACTGTGAGCCTTGGAGTGTGCCTGTTCACCCTGCAGACAAGGGTAGGAAGGCATTAGACAGGGAGTGACCCAAGCAGATGAGCGTTTTAGAAAGTTCGCCCACAGCCACAGTGGGGGAGGAGGGGCACCCGTGGGTCAGAGAGAAGCCAGATGCGCCTGGCACAGGGCCTGGCACAGAGGGCGTTCAGGAGAGAAGGAACAAGCAGAGGATGAACAGGATGCTCAGAGCTGTGCCTAGCAGGGTAGAATGGGGAGACCGGCTTTGCCCGGAGAGATGCTGTCACAGTTTGGAGGCTTTTCCAACTCTAACTCTGTCCTCCAGAAACAAAGCAAAACCACGCCTTGGCGGGACGCACAGCGCAAATCCCATCACCGCCTGGAAACCCTCTCTGACGCAATCCCTGGCTGGCGGACAAGTGACCCTCCCCCTGTCTCGCCTTTTCTCCCTCTCTCTCCGGGTGGCCAGACAGCCACCTCGGCTTCCCGGCTGCCCCGGAAACTGCCCGCCCTGCGCCTCCGGGCGCTTCGCCCCGGGCGCCCCTGCATCCCGCGCGCCCCTGCATCCTGCACCCAGAGTCCAGTTTAGCAGCCAGAACTGCGTCCCGTGCGCGGAGGCCGTCGCCTGGCTCCTGGGTGGACGGGACTGCGAGGGTCGGGGAGGCGGGGGCTCCAATCCATGCCCGGCCGAGTAGCCAGTGCCCCGCGCCCCGCGGCTCACCTGACTTCGCATGGCGGGTTCGGGGTGCTCCTCGCCTGCGGCTCCGCTAACGCTGCGCTGAGCTCCCTCGCCGGCCTTGGCCGCCCAGCAAGCCCCGGAGAGGGCCGGGCGGCCGCAGCCCCTCCCCCGGCGCCGCCCGTCCCCACCTTATAAGGCAGCGACAGCTGCAGGCAGAGGCGCCCGGGGCCACCCCGCGGGCAGCCAGAGAGCGCGCCCAGCGAAGAGAGCTCCGCGACTGCACAGGGCTCTCCAGGAGCGGGCGCCGAAGCCAGGGGCTCCCGGCTCGCGGCTCCCAGCTCCGACCGCACGCAGAGTGGGCGGTACGTGAGAGACCCGCGCTTCCACCCTGTCACCCTCAGGGTCTGATGCTCTGCTCACTGTGGCGGGGTGCTCACTGTGGCGGCGTGAGAGCCGCTTCCGGCTGGCCCGCCTGGGGTCCGCGCTCTGCCTCAGCCTGACCCCGACAGACATCTCAGGCCTCAGCTGTCCCTCTCCACTCTGCGGTGACGCCTGTGGGGTCGACCTGGGGTAGGGGGAAGCTCCTCTCCCCAGAACACAACCTCTGATGCGAGTCTGGGTTGGAATTGGGCACTTCCTATCCCTCCAGTCCTCCACCCCACCCCACGCTCCTACAACCCGGCCCTGACCTGTCCCTCTTGTCCCTCATTGCCTATCAGAACAAGCCCTTTTCCCCTGCCCTGAAGTCTGCACCTGTTCCTCAAAGCCCTCACTTTACATGCTCCAGCCAAACTAGATTCCTTGATATTCCCCAGACAAGTTCTGGGATCCCACTTCCCTGCCTTTACTGGTGCTGTGCACTCAGCCAGGAGTACTGGCCCATGTCTACCTATTTAATCCTACCCGTTCGCAGGGTCTGGCCGTCTTTGCAACGTCCAGCACCCTGATCTTCCCTGACTTCAGGGGCATTACACACCCGGTCTTGGGGGGACTTGGTCCCTGTATGAGAGGAGCCCCTGGATGAAGGCACAGCCTAAGTCGCCTGTGCCAGACTGTGACACATGGTCACTTCCCGCCAGGTGCAAGTTTGAACGTGGCCCCCACAGTTCATGTGTTAGAAACTCAATCCCCAATGCAACAGTGTGGGCAGGTAGGACTTTTTAAAAGATGATTAGGTCATGAGGCTCTGCCTGCCTGAAAGGATTAATGCTGTTACCTGGAGAGTGGGTTCTTGATAAAAGGATGAATTTGGCCTCCTCCCTGCCCTCACCTTCCTTTCCACCTTCCATGCAGCAAGAAGGCTCTCTCCTGAAGTGACTCCCAGACTGGCCTACCCAGCCTCCAGAACTGTAAGGAAATCTCCACAGGCCCATAGCCTAGTGGCTGGGGAGCTGGATCCCACATGGCTCACTGTGGTTTGAGTCTGGGCCCCAGTGGCTTGAAAAACACCCTGGGCACGTTTGCATGAGTGCTCTAAATCCTGACAGGATGGAGAAATGGAGGAGATGGGACAGTGGTGTGACCACGCTCCATGGGGGGTGAGTGAGTGTACTTTCTCCCTCTTTCTCTCTGTTGCTCTCTGGCAAAAGCACACATCCTCTGGCAATATGAAAGGAAGGAAGGAATAAATACACCTCTATTTTTTAGATACCCAGCCTCAGATACTCTGTTATAGAAGCAAAAATGGTCTAAGACACTGGAGAAAGTTAAACCCTAAGTGCAGGAAGCTAATTTGAAGGCCTTTAAATAGAGGGACAGTGAAATGAACTGACCCACTGATCACATGGGTAGAACTGATAAAACTGAGAGCGTATGAATGTCCACTATGACAGCAGCGAGGCCTACCCTCTCTATTCCTTCCCTGTCAGGCAAATATGATTACTGCATTTTAGTACTTTCAGTGTTAGAATGAATCAAGTTGGTGCCTACTTTGACTCAAAAAGGACTTCTGGGAGCCAGCAGGTGGTATGGTGGTTAAGGTGCTGGACTCAAACATAGCCCACTATGGTTCAAGTCCCAGACCTGGTGGCTTTTTCTCTCTCTCTCTGGTCAAATTAAAGGATGGTGGGGCCGGCAGGTGGCGTGATGGTTAAAGTCGCTGGATTCCCACATGGCCGACCATGGTTCAAGTCCTGGACTTGGTGGCTTGCTTTCTCACTTTCCTTTTCTCTCTCTCTGTCTCCCTCTGAACTGGAAAATAATAATAATAAGTAAAGTTAAATAAAAATCATTCTTTAAAAAAATAAAGGATGGTGGGGCGTGGTGGCGCCCGCCCTATGGCAAAAAAATAAAGGATGGTAATAATGATAATAAATAAAAATTAAATAAAATAATTTTTATGATACATTCTAAAGTCAATTTTTACTTCTACAAACAAAAGGCAGTCAAAACAATCTAAAACACATTTAAAGGATATTACTGGGTGAGTTTCAGTGGAGTCTGACTCTGCAAAGGCTGAGTCCAAGGGGAGAGTGAAGGTCGTTTTGTTCTGTCTGAAGAAAGAGGCCTCAACTGAAGCTGAGTCCCACCAAGCCAATCCTGCAAAGGGGCACCCAGTGCCAAGAGAGGGCTGCGGTGGGGCTGCTGCACAGAGGAGTTGGTGGGCCAGCTCCATGGCACATTCCTGGAAACTGGGTGCCAGAGGAGCATGGAGTTTCAAATGAGAATTCTGGTTTTAGTTTTGCCTATGATGGCCAGCAATCTTTTAGAATGGCTACGGGGAGGGGTGTCAACCTGTGGTTTTAGGAGCCTTTCTGGCAAGAAATGCATTTCCCATGAGCTGGCAGGTCCTCCCTTGGGGGTCACCACAGGCCTGTTATCTTTTTTTTTTTTGAGAGGTTTTCGCTATAGGGCACGTGCGCTCGCCAGACAGAGAGAGACATTAGAGACAGAAAGCGAGAAATCATCCCCATGGTTGATGGTCACACCGCAATCCCTTCTCCTCCATTCTCCTCTCAGGATCTTGGGCACGCACGCACACGCACCCAGCGTGAGGTTTAAACCATTGGGTCCGGGACGTGAACTGTGGTCGACTACAGGGGAGTCCAGCGACATAGCCATTACACTAACTGCTGGTTCCCACCACAGGCCTGTTATCTTACTGCCAGGTTTTCCTAGGCAGGCCAGGCCATAGTTCCACCACGTGGGCTGACAAAGGGCTGTGCCCACATCTTCAGAGTTCCCTCCATACTAGCTGGAATTATAGCAAAGAGCCACCCCTCGCTTTTCATTGTTTGGGGGAGGGTACTGGGTGTGGGAGGGGTGTGACTGATTGGCTTATTTTATGTTTTCATAAAAGTCTGTCCTGAACTAGAGTCAGGAGAATGTGAACCAACTCCCGTATGGGGCGATGCAGCACTTTTAGAAGTCCAGAAGATCTGTTTTCCTTTGTGGAGACAGGTCTGGGTCTGGGGAAGAGATTAAGTAAAAAATTGAATGTGAGAAAGTGGGAGTTTCAAGGGTAGGAGGAAGAAGGGGAACCACAACCCTCTTTTTTTTTTTTTTCTTTTTAAATCTTACTGGCTAACCCTACAGCAAAAACCTCTCAAAAAAATTCTTATTTCTTA